AGGATTCTGAACTTTGCCATCACCCCTCCCTGCCACACACAGATACACACACACACACAGTATTTTAAGAAAAAGAAAGAAAGAAAAGAAAAGGAAATTAAGGCTGAAAAAGTCACAAACTAGGTCAGATATTTTCCTCTGCTCATTCTTGCATTATTTGCTGCTGGTTTTAAAGGGCAGAATTGTTGAGACTCTTCCACATTTTCTTGAGGGACTTCAAACTTGGAGACATTGCAGGGACATAAAAACCAAGAGGATTTTGCTATGGTTACATGGAGAATAAATTGTTATAAACTAAGAGCTGTGAAATATCAATTTGGAGAGGGTACTTACCTCTTCCCAGGACACTCACAGATGAGACCACATTTTTGCCACATCCCCTTTGGGCACAGTTGACTGCTCAGTTGGTTCCTGGAGCCACTTGTTAGCTGAATCACTGGGAGGAGGGTTGGCCTCTGTGTTCATTGTGAATATGTGTGGTTCTGACACTGTGATTCCCCACACCCTTGTGAGTCAGGATTAACAGAAAGCAGACTCTCTTCTACTCCTCTATAAAAGGTCGGTTTAAAGAGAAAAATGATGATGTCTTTGGAGATTATGGTCAGGAAAAGGGGCTAGCAATAAAAGCAAGAAGGCAAGAGTTCTGAAGCAAGAACTCTCAAGAGGTACCTTACAGGTTAAATAGATCACAAGGCTGGAGTTCAGATGTTATCAAGCCACAAGAATGTGAGGTAGAGGTTAAGAGTAGGCTGAGATTAAAGCAGGCATTTCTGATAAATGTTTTCTATTAGTTTTAAGCCACTCTAAAAGCAGAGAAGTGGGGCTGTGACAAGCCCCCTGGCGAATGAGGAAAGCGAGCCTTGGAGGGGGCTCAGTAAAGGATATTTAGCAAGCAAATGATAGAGCCTAGACTCACACCCAGGCTTGTCTGACTCCAAAGGCTGTTTGCGCCACGTGCCTTATAGCACTTTGGACCTCCACTTTGGCGGGGGAATTTGTTTTATTCTTGGATGATATTGAATACTTCCCATTCGTTAGCATCAATGGATTTCAAGTGCTATGAGGTAAAGTACCTCTTATTGTACGCTTAGTTCAAAATTTCTAATTATTTTCGTAAGGCCACAGTAGCACAAATGGAAAGTGATACTTGCCATTAATTTTTTCCTGTTTTAGATTCTTCTGGCCCACTTTATTTCTGATTAGATTGAGGTGACACAGTGATTTTTTGTTTTATTTTGTTTGCATTGTTGATCTACAGCCATGGTTTTCAAACTTTATTGATCTTAGAACCAACCCCTTTATACTCTTCATTACTAAGGACACTAAAAAGCTTTGTTTAAATGAGGTATATCTATTTGTATTTCCTGTACTAAAAATCAAAACAGACTTTTATAAGAGTATACAAGTAAGCATTCCATTAACTCTTGTATCCTCTGAAAATCTCCACTATACAATTGTGAAAGACTGATATTTTAAAAATCAAATAATATTTTAGTAATATTGTGAAAGTAATATTGACCTCACAGACTCCCTGATAGGATCGTGGGGAACCTGGGCCACATTTTGAGAGCCATTGATCTAGAAAACATACCTGTTTATGTTGATGTAGGCAATTGTTTATAATGCAACTGTAAGTCCCAGGACTAGGGGCTAAAAAACAAGGGAGTTAGGACAGGACCATCAGGTAATAAATGGTTCAGAAAATAAGTTAACTGACCAGTCTGTGAACTTCTTTCATCTTAGATTTAAAAAGAGTTAGCTTTTATTTCTGAATTATTAGTATGTTCATATGTGGGAGTGAATAGCGATTGTTTTTAATCTGTAGTAGTTTAATAAATTCTGATGTTTAAGATATGTTTAAACATTTCATCCAGATAGAATTTTATTACAGAGATGTTCGTTTCATTGTTTCTACTCACACTTAACCATTGTTTTTTGGTCACCCAGCCCTGGATCCACCTTTCCTCTCTTGGCATATCCCACTGCCACCTGCAGGAGGCTGAAGTGCTAGATACTTACATCTTTGGCCATCTTTGCAGCTTGGCTGCAGATATGTGACCCAAACTCTGCCAGTTAGATACCTGCATCTCATGCTTTGAAATAGAAACTAGGGACATATAGAAGTACATGGCGGCTGTACATCGTTCCCAGGGCAGCAGCTGGTTGCTGGGATTACTGGTGTTGGTAGAAGAAGCTGTAGAATTCCCTGCTCATCAGGTAATAGAGATAGCAGGGGTGTTTCCACCAGGCCAGTGCCGCTGTGTGGTTTGGGGCAGTGTTCTTGGATGTGTAGCTTCTGAACCTGATTTCTCTGGCCTGCCTAGAAATTTGTGGGGTTTTTTTCATTATCCTTCTATGAATTCAAGAGTCAGACCTTTGCCTGCAGCTAAGAATCCTACTTAATTCATTCTGAAATGCAGTGTCTCTCAAAGTATTGTTTGGCAACCTCATGTATATGGAATCACCTGGGCCGTATCTGACAATACCTACTTGTAGACTTAGAACCTATGGATTCAGAATCCTTAGGGTGGTTCTTAGGAGACTGCATTTTAAACAGATCTCAAGTTTATGTGATTTTAGATGCAGTAAAATTTAAAAACCACTACCTAATGTTTATAACTTTTTAAATGCTATGTTCTCTCTTTAAGGATATGAGCAATCATCAAAAGAGTTAAAAAGACAGAGCAAAGGCTTATGGGGAATGTGAAGCAGGGGAAGGCGAGGAAAAAGGAAACACTAATAAGTCATTTATTAGGGCCTTGTAGAAGAGTAGAATTGGCCGGGCTTGGTGGCTCATGCCTGTAATCCCAGCACTTTGGGAGGCCGAGGAGGGCAGATCTTTTTTTTTTTTTTTTTTTTTTTTTTTTCTGAGATGGAGTCTCACTCTGTTGCCCAGGCTGGAAGGCAGTGGCATGATCTCAGCTCTCTGCAGCCTCCACCTTCTGAGTTCAAATGATTCTCCTGCCTCATCCTCCGTAGTAGCTGGGATTACAGACATGCACTACCACACCCTGCTAATTTTTCTATTTTCAGCAGAGACAGCGTTTTGCCATGTTGGCTAGGCTGGTCTTGAACTCCTTACCTCAGGTGATCTGCCCTCCTCGGCCTCCCAAAGTGCTGGGATTACAGGCATGAGCCACCAAGCCTGGCTGATTCTACTCTTTTATAAGGCCCTAATAAATGACTTACTAGTGTTTCCTTTTTCCTCTCCTTCCCCTGCGTCACATTCCCCATAAGCCTTTGCTCTGTCTTTTTAACTCTTTTAATGTCTTTTTTCCCGGGATTATTTTTTCTCACTGAGAAGTGTTAATTCCTCAGTTGAGATTGCCTACATTCAGTGGTGCCAGAATTATTAACTCGGCTTCTAAACTACACTGTGATGGAGCATGTCTTTTCTTTCTTGGGCATTTTTGTAACCTGCAGGTGTAGAGCTCAATGTTTACCCCAGGGATTACTGGAGACAGTGGAGGGGAAAGACTGGGATACAAGAGTAATTTTTCTTGAAAGGTTCCTTCACACACCGTGGATTTAGGCCAGAAAATAGCACTGGAGGTGTTGATTGATCTACTTCTGAGATTTCTAGAATCACTGATTGTTATAACTAAAAAGAATCTATCTTAACCCCTTGTTTCCTAAATGAGGAACTGAGGAGAAGATCCACATCCAAAGCCATCTAAGTGATGAGTGGGGTATAAAGACAAAATAAATTTAGAAATGGAAAGTGGCGATGCAGAGCTTGACCTACACTAGCATAAAATGGAAGGGAATTACTAATATTTATTGAATTAATATTTGAACTTGGGTATGTTCACTTGACTTCTTTGAGCCTCAGTTGTCTAACTACAAAATAAAGATTCTACTAATAGCCAACAATGATAAAATATTGACTATATGCTAGGGTCTATTGATATTTTAAGGACTTTATGTGCTAACTCATTTAATCCAAGCACAATCACATGACAAAGGAGCTGCTGTTTCTCCCATTTTGTAGATGCACAGAAAGGCTACATAACTTCCCTGCAGTCACACAGCTAAGCATATTTGTTTTCTATTGCTGCTTTTCAAATTTTTATGAAATTAATAGCTTAAATATACATTTATTATCTTACTGCTTTTTGGGTCAGGAGTCTAGGCACAGCTTATCTAGGTCCCCTGCTCATGGTCTCACAAGGCAGCAATTGAGTTGTTGACATGGGCTAGGGTCTTGTCAGAGGCTTGCAGTCATCTTCTAAGCTTGTGTGGTCATTAGCAGAATTAATATCCTTGCAGCTTTGGAAGTTGGGGTGGCTGAGTCTTTAAGGCCAGGAGAGAATCTACTTCTTTTAAAGGTCTTACCTGATTAGATCCAGACCACTCAGGATAATTTTTCTTTTGATTAACTTAACATCACCCATTAGAGGGATTCATAAAACTATAATATATTTTCATGTTTGCCATATGTTTCAACATAATCACAGGAATAATATTCTATGACCTTTGCTGTCTTCTATTGGTTAGAAGACAATTACAGGTCTTAACCACACTCAAGTGGAGAGGATTACATAAACCTACAGATATCAAGGGGCAGGAATCACAGAGCTATCTTAGAATTCTGCCTGTCATAGTTCTAAGGTTGAGTTTAAATCCAGACTGGCTCTAGGTTTAGAGCTTGTCCGTGCTCCTAACCAATATGATCTTCTTCCTTTGAAGAAAGTGAACCTACTTTATAACCCTGCATAGAGTTCTGAGTAAGGTAGCCCCAAGCAGATTCATACTGGGTGCCAGTCAAATATGTATTATTTTCACACCTTCACTTTTAAAGGTCAGCTTCAAGAAACCATAACCACCTGTAGTTTTGTATTTTCAAGAAGAGATTTCCAACAGTCTCCCTAAACACTCAGGTTATATAAGTTATTTCAATTTGTTCATGTTTTTCTGAGGCAGAGCTAACCCTGGGGTTTGGGATTTCAAACTTGGGCCTCAAAAAATAACTTTAGCTCTGCTTCTTGTTTTTGAAACAGATGAAGTGATTGAGAAGAAACAGTGAACATCCTCCTTTTACATTTAAGACAACATGGATCAGCCTTTTACTGTGAATTCTCTGGTAGGTCACACCAGCTGATATTTAACATTTGGTTGAAAAGCCCAAAAAGAAGAACAGAAACATACAAATGTGAAATGAGTCACAATTACTTTAAGAAGTTTAGCACTTGTAGTTTTTCATCCATCTGTGTGGTTGTCTCCTTTGAGGAAGTGACTAATAAAGCTATCTTTGTAAGACTTAAAAATAAATTTTATTTCCCACAAAAGTCTAAAATTTTAGTTTATCTGGATAGATTCCAGGAGTGTAGTCCTTTGGCAAAACCCTGGAGAGAAGAATTTCAGAGTTGATATCCAAGGAGCTACTTAAAGTTCTTAGTGCCTCAGCTTCTTTATAGATAAAAATTGGAGACTCACTTCGTATGGTGACAACTGAGAAAAACATACATAACACCTAGGTATTGCTTTGGAGCCTTGTGTAAATGTCTTTGTACTTAAAGCTCTTATGCTTCTCACTTTTCCCCTCACTACCCAGCACTGTGCACACTTTCTCTAGCTAGATCACATGGGCTTATCCTGTGTCCTAGATCAGTCTGTGAGTGTGAATATAAACACATTATATAATCTCCATGGCCCTGATTTCATACTTTGTGCCCAGTGACAATTGGAAACAATATTTTTGTTGCTTCTAGCCTATCATGATGGTACGACAAATAGAAACTGTCATTCCCATTTTCCTCCTCCTGATGACCCTCCCCAACCACTCATGGCGACCTTGTAGGAGTCGGCCTATGAGCTGCAGTATACTAAATACCTTATATGCACAAAACTGAGCACCAGGACATAAGGAAATAGAGGTCCTGGTTCTTGTACTGAAATAGATTGTGACCTCATGTTTTTTCTTGACCAAGAAAGTCGTTCACAGAGCTTAGTTGTTTTCAGAGTATGTTTGGAAAGTGGACAATTGCAGAAACGTTTTCACTTTCTGTCCCCATGTTGTTGTTCCACTATGGTTGATAAAGGCTGATGCATTTCCACCTCTGCAGAGCAAAGAGTCATCCTTATGAGATGTCTTCTGTGTTTTTCTAGAATATTATATAACAATAACTAAAATTTTAATGTGTATGTCACTGTAAAAATGAACACAAAGGCTTTTTATATGGAAAATTTGTGTTTTCATCCAAGAAGCTTGCATGCAAATGAAATATTATAGATTGATGAAGACTTTAGGTTATTTTCCAGCTTATCTTTGAAATCAATTTTAAATTTGGGAAAGATAGGACCATGCAAAAAAGGAAAATCAATCTAATTTTAATTTTCAGGAAAAAACCTAATTACAGTCTCTTATTGCTTCCTTTTTTCTCTTTCTCACTCCTTTCTCTCTTTTATTTGATGTACTCATTAATGATCACCTATGTGGCAGGGAATATGCTACATTCTAGGAAATAGAGATAAATGGAAAATGATCCTTTTTAAATCCCCAAGGAGTTCATAAGGGATTGGACATACTTGTACAGAAATAATGATAACTTGGTGTGGACTATATAGTAGTAAAATATGAACACATTACTTTTATGCATGTGAGAGGATGGAACCCCCTTTAGAAAACGTTCTGATTTTCATAGATATTTTTTCTAGTCATTTTCTGATGTCATTGAAGCAATTATCTGTGGTCAAATAACAATATTTTCATTTGGTGCTGCTGAGTTCTACAGATGAGTGTGGTTAGGGAAAAGTGGATGGATTGCTGTAGGTTTTGAGACATCTCAGTTGGAAAAGACTATATACTGAAGCCTGAGGCTCAAAGTTCAGAAACTCCAATTTCTGTCTCTGAAGTGGGGAAGCCACATAATAAAACGTACAAGGGACATGGCATGCTTCTTACTTAATGGAGCCTTGAGAAACAAATTTATGGCTCTCTGGTTACATATTAAACCTTTAGGAGCAAGAATCATTTCAGACCTCTGGGGTTCTATTGGCTATAAAAATACCAGCAAAGTAGGCCAGATGGCACTGGAAGAACTCCAGATATCTAATTCACTATACTTTGCCCCTGAAGGTTGGCTCAGTAATCCATGGCCAGACTAAACGTATGCCTACCTTGACTCTTTTGTAGCTTTCTATAGACCTGAATTAGGTGCTCCACCCACACAGTAGTCAGACTTGCAGCCTACCCTTAACTAACCAAGACCTTGAGAAGCTAAATTTGCTCTAGGCTAACTCTATTCTGGAAGCATTCAGCAATGGTAGAAGTGGTTGATCTAAAGCTGTGCTTCTCAAGCAGTGCATGCCTAAGTACCTCTGGAAAGATGGATTAAAACATTGATTCTCCAGCCTAACTCCAGAGATCCTGACTGTAGGTCTGAGGAGAGACCTATTGGAATTGGCATTTTTAAGAAACTCCCAGTTGATGCTAATGCTGCCAGTCCATGGACCATGCTTTGAAACATGCTGATCTAAAGCAGGGGTCAGCAAACTATCATCTAACGGCCAAACCACCTGCTTGTTTTTATAAATAAAAATTTGGGAGACACAGCTAGAGTCATTTTTTTTCCATATTATTTATGGTGGCTTTCATGCTGAGAGCTGAATTCAAGTTGCAATGGAAACCATATGGCTGGCAAAGCCTAAGGTACTGGCTATCTGGCACTTAACAGAGAAAATTTCCTTTCTAAAGTGCTTTTTATTGAATAAGTATCCTGAATTATATATGTTCTATGCTTTGCCAAATGTGTATAGATGCTGTTTTTATTAATAAAATTCAAATTACTATCACTGACATTTCTTAGTAACATATCATTATTTTCTTAGTCAAGGACTAATTTAACAGTGTAATTTCTATTATGTGGAAGTCTGAGAGTCTTTTCATCTTTAAAAAAAATGGGAGGGGTGGCTGGGCATGTGGCTCACACCGGCAATCTCAGCACTTTGGGAGGCCAAGGTGGGTGAATCACCTGAGGTTGGGAGTTCGAGACTAGCCTGACCAACATGGAGAAACTCCATCTCTATTAAAGATACAAAATTAGCCAGGCATGGTGTCACATGCCTGTAATCTCAGCTACTTGGGAGGCTGAGGCAGGAGAATCACTTGAACCCAGGAGGCAGAGGTTATGGTGAGCCAAGATTGCACCATTGCAGTCTAGCCTGGGCAACAAGAGCAAAACTGTGTCTTAAAAAAAAAAAAAGGAGGGGGATTCTTATGCTTGAAAAGGCTTCTCCAAGATTTATTTGGGGTGTTTTTTTTTTTTTTTTCTCTCACTTAATGAAGATGCAGCGAGGCCCTAAAAACTTCTTACTAAACAACACTTCTTCTGGAATATAGCTGAATCTTTATAGTAACTTGAATCCAAGTTACCTCCTTGGAGACCCTGACATAAACCCTACCAGGGCAGGAATTTATTTCATGACCTGCTTCACATGATCCCAGATAGAAACATGCACAGGGATATGAAGAGCAATGGTATTTTACCTAAAATGACCTGAAACATTTGCATACCCTGGAACTTCCACATAATTGTACCCTGAAACCTAAGGTGGGATCCCACTCCAGTAGCACTGTGTATTTACCCTGGATGTTTGTCTTTTTGTTGTACAGACCATGTGTTTAAGCAAAGATACTTTGCTTTGATCATATCATTAACTCTTATGAAAAGATTTCCTTAGTTAATGGTATTAGGTTCCTCATAAAGAAAATACATCCATAATAATAGTCATATCCTTTTCTTACTATAATTAGCGATTAATCAGAGATTTAAATTTTGCTTTGCAGAGAAAGTTAGCTGCTATGCCTGACCATACGGATGTTTCCCTGAGCCCAGAAGAGCGAGTCCGTGCCCTAAGCAAGCTTGGTTGTAATATCACCATCAGTGAAGACATCACTCCACGACGCTACTTTAGGTCTGGAGTAGAGATGGAGAGGATGGCATCTGTGTATTTGGAAGAAGGAAATTTGGAAAATGCCTTTGTTCTTTATAATAAATTTATAACGTAAGTGTTTTAAAGGCCTCTGAAGTAAGAAAATTGGAAAAAATATTTACATACTTTGATGTGGCAGTTTGAGTATCAGTCATGTTTTCATATTTAGACCAATTGCACAGTCCCTAGGAGCATTACATGTTCTGGTTTTTAAATTACCAAGTAATGTACTCACGGGCATCCCAACATCATCTCTGAGGCTTAGGGTCAGGGAGGGCATGAGGCTCAGGGTTATCAGATTTTCTCTCCAAGGCCAGTACAGTAATCTATTTAATACATGTTTCACTCTTCATAAATAAAATTTCTTTTTTCATGCCATTTTCCCTGACAGAAATTGAAGCTTTATGAGAGCAAGAACTATAGTGTAGCTCCATTTACAACACCTGAAACATGCCATCAACATTTTAAAAGGTTGATTTGGTGGGTTGTACCTAGGGGGCAAGTTGGGAGATACAGGAAAGATCTGATCCAGGTGCAGGGATAGGGTGCCATGGTCAGTTTCACATAGCATTTATTATTTCTTTTTAAAAAAATCATTTTATTTGGCTATGTAAGAATACCATGTACAAAAAAGCTTTCAAAATGTTGATTAAAAGTGGCTACATCAAAACAGCCATGTCAAAATATCATATTTCTTATTAGACATTTGTTAGTGACATATCCTAGTTGAAGAGTTAACGGAAATGAGATTTGGATTTTCCTTACTAATTTAATAACGTACTGGTTGAAAGGCTGTCCTGTTATCAATAATTGTATAATCTAAGCTGAACCCTCTATTTTTTATTTTAATTGAAAGTCACACATTGATTACTTTTGCTAGCTTATTTGTTATTTATTAATTTTACTTAAATTGACAAATGAAAATTATATATATTTATGGTATGCAACATGTTTTGATACATGTATGCATATATTGTAGAATGAGTAAATCAAGCCAATTAACATATTTATTACCTCACAGACCTTTTTTTGAGATAGGTTCCCACTCTGTTGCACAATCATAGCTCATTGCAGCCTTGACCTCCCAGGTTCAAATGATCCTCCCACCTCTTCCCGAGTAGCTGGGACTATAGGCATGTGTCACCATGCTCAGCTAATTTTTTATTTTTGTAGAGATGGCATCTTACTATGTTGCCCAGGCTGATCTCCAACTCCTGAATGTAATGGATCCTCCTTCTTTGGCCTCACAAAGTCCTGGGATTATAGGCATAAGCTACTGTGCCAGGCCAAACTGCATAATTATGCAGTACATTGTTATTAACTATAGTCATCATATACACTAGACCTCCTGAACTTATTCCTCCTGTCTAACTGAAATTGTATGTCCTTTGACCAACACCTCATCCCCTATCCTTACCCACTGGAACCCTAATAGCCACTCTCTGCTTCTATGAATTCAACTATTTTAGATTCCTTCCACATTATTAAGTGTGATTATGCAGTATTTGTGTTTCTGTGCCTGGCTTATTTCACATATAATTTCACTAGCTTAGTCAGGGGCCTAGCCTGAGAACATTTAAGAAGTTGAAAAGATACAATATTTTAAAAATTGCATTCCATGATTCTACCAAGGGCAAAATTAAAGGCAGTTTACATGACATACAAGTTGAGATCTGCATTTTATTCAAGTTACTCAACTTGAAAATTTAGAGAATGGTTGGCAACCTTCACCCTACCTGAGAAAATCACTTCTTTTTAGAAAGTTAAGTAATAAATATGAAATTAGAGGTTATTCTCCACCATTGATAGCCAAACTTCTCTAATAATTTTTGTTTCTGAATAAGTTACAATTAATAATATTTTTTTACCTTCTGCTCTGATTTTGCATATGTTACTATGGAATTGTAGGCCTGGTGAAAGAGAAAAGGTCCCTATATCTCAGAATTACTGTGTAATCAAAATACTTGAATGCTCTTTTGTTATTAGTGGTATGATAATTTATAATTCATTTATTCTTCCTGAGCCTTAGTTCCTTATCTACAAATGAAAGATTTATGGGAGAAAATCTCTGAGGTTCCCTCAGCTCCAAATATCTTTGAATTTATTCTATTTATAAAGTCTTAGGTAGCTAACAACTTTTAAAGCCTCTTTAAGCCTTAATTTTCTCACTTAAAAATGGGAATTATGCTAACATTTCTGTGTATCCTATAGCCTTGTCATCAGGTGAGATGAAATGATGAGTATATGTGTGCATGAATTGATTTACAGAATCAGTTAAGTATAAGATATAACATATTAGCTGATCAGAAATAGCATTTTCAGATCATTATGATTTATCAAGGAAGGGTTATTCATTTTGCAAATATTTATTGAGCACTTATGAGCTGGATGCCATTCTTCAGGCTGAGGATACTTTGGCGCATAAAAAAGAGAATTCCCTGCCCTTGTGGTAGCAGTTTCTTCATTTTACCTGGAAGTGATGCACCTGATTTGCTGTAGGAATTTCCTTTCACTGCTGCTATCTTGTTCCCTAAAAGGTGGTGAAAAATAATGAACTCCTAATTGGCACCTCCTAAGGATTCTGGTTGTCATTTCTCTTAGTTATGGGTTTTCTGTTAAGAGTTTTTTGATACATACATGATGGCACTGCTGATTCATCAGTGGTTGTTTGAGTTTTTTCCAAGAATGAGAAGGGATTTACATGACTCTTTTCATGCTCTGATGTTTTTATGTGATCCTCTCTGTTGCTGGCAGTGCAAAAAAGTAAGATGTGCTCTTACGGGGTTAAGCATGCAGGGCCTGAGAAAGATCAAAGTGACTTGATTTGTTTAGAGAATTCCCTGACCTTAACCTTATTAACTTTGGTGCTTAGTTTGTTGAGTTTAACCCTTAATACCAAAATAATACTCATGCCAGCCTTTAGTGAAAAAGCAGATGGAAAGACTATAAGTAAATGAGTAAGTTATTAAACATGTCATTTTTGAAAAAGGATGCTCATTCCCATATTAGAAGTCACTATTGAGCTTTTGCTGTCATATAATGCTAAGGACATGTTTTCTCTTTTCTTAGCTTGTTTGTAGAAAAGCTTCCTAACCATCGAGATTACCAGCAATGTGCAGTACCTGAAAAGCAGGATATTATGAAGGTATTGTGGGTTTGCTTCTCCACTGTGGGATCAAATGTTCTATAAGTATCCATTATTGATTCGCTCTTCCCCTTCCTCCCCTTTCTCTTTCTCTTGAGAGTTTGAGCACAAAAAATTGATTCCATTAACAATGATGTTTCGATTTTTTTCTTAGACATTTAATGATCATTACTGAGCCAGTGTGGTTTGTCTAATTGATGCTGGCAGAACAGAAAGAAAGAAAAATGTTATCTTATGCTGTGAATGAGGAATTATTTTATAGTTCCTCCCAGAGATTAAGAGAATGTTGTATATTTCTTCAAATTTCTTTCAGACAGTCATTTTGGCTGGTTTTAATTATTTTATACAGCACTGAACTCAGTAATTATTTGAAAATTAGGGTTAGTTATTGGCAGCTACAAAGTTCTAGCTATTTACGTCTTAGAAAACTAGAATTATCAAGTGTGCTGGGGAAGCAGGAGGTGGTGGGATAAAATACTATCAAGGAGAAAGAGTGTTGTAATTTATCATCAATTTTTCGATGATTTATTTATCACCAATAATTGCTATATCTGTAATTTTGGTTATGTCTAGCTGTGGACATATTCTTTTAAATAAACATTTACAATGCTTCCCATTTATTTGTCTTTAATAGTTTGTGTTGATCTTATATGATGGGAGATAAAATCATGTATACAAAGCCAATCATATCATGATATTTTAAATAATTTTTGAATAACATTTTACCGCATAATGAAATAAAAGCTTTCCTGTGAGCCTTTTCAGACCTAAGGATGCATAAGCAAAATGCAGATTTTGTCAAATGATGATCTACATTTTATTTATTTGTGAGTCAGAATCTTGCTCTGTCATCTAGGCTGGAGAGAAGTGATGCTATCTCAGGTCACTGCAACCTCTGCCTCCCAGGTTCAAGTGATTCTCCTGCCTCAGACTTCCCATTAGCTGGGATTACAGGAGCCTGCAACGCCCAGCTAATTTTTATATTTTTAGTAGAAATGGGATTTCACTATGTTGGCCAGGCTGGTCTCGAGCTCCTGACCCCAAGTGATCCATCCTCCTCTACCTCCCAAATTGTTAGGATTACAGGTGTAAGCCATTGCGCCTAGCCAACTTTTTTAAAGTTTACAGTCACTTACCTGAAGAATCAATTATTTTCATGTCTTTGTGTAGCATTTCCTCTTAATTATTTTGTTCATTCAACCTCAGAGAGTTCTGTTTGGAAACCAAAGGTGCCAGGCTGCCAAGGTGACTCATGTACTATAATTTAGGGTTGTGCTTACTTTTTTTTTGTGGAAGAAAAATTCTCCAAAAGCATGTACATTTCTCTTGTTTATGCTTATCGAATAAATAGATAGATGAATAAATAAATAAATGAATGATAAAAGATTAAGAGATTAGAAACTTGGTGAAAGAGCTAGAGTCAGGAGACTTGAGTTCCAGTCCTAAATGGGCCACTAGCCGGTTGCATAATGCCCACAGGACCTTCAGTCTCTCCCGGCCTTTGTTTCCTCACCTCTAAAAAGGAAGACGTAGTTACACTATATAAGAATTCCCAGCTTTTGCTGCCATTAAGGATCCCTAAGGAAGCTGATCCAGAATCCCAGACCCCTTCTCTAGAGGTGTTAATTCAGTAGATCTGGATTAGGCTTGGGAATCTGTATTTTTATAAAAAGTGCCCCAGCTGTTCTTTTTACAGTCTAGCATGTCTAGAAATCCCTATCCACCACATATTCTCTCACATCCCTTCTAATTCTGATGCTACATGATTTATGTACTATAGAATGTATTGATCTCAAAACCACTGCCTAAAAATGGGGTGCTACAAAGGTAGCCACAAAGTTCTAGCTATTTACGTCTCATAGCTTTGGGCTATAACAAAATGCTTACCTAATCAGTAGAGCCAATAAACGTCTTACAAAAGGGATAATGGTTTCTATCCTGCTGGAAAGTTATATTTTGGACCCATCAAGAGATTTATTTTTCTGCCATCATTGGTTACTCATGACTTTATTTGTAATACACCTATCAGCTGTTTTTCTTTCTCACCTGATGACCTAAAAGAATATATTGAAAACTCCCACTAATCAATATATGTATATATTTTTAAAAGAAACTGAAGGAGATTGCATTCCCAAGGACAGATGAATTGAAAAACGACCTTTTAAAGAAATATGACATAGAATACCAAGAATATTTGCAAAGCAAAGTAAGTTCAGTTGGTAAATTTATTTCATGACAATTTTATGTATAAGTATTTTTTGAATTTTATTTTTATGTGATGAGTTTTTCAAATGTTATGTGCATTTAAATTAAAATTTAAAGATGCAGTGATGTGAAACCAATAAAAAATTTATGCTGATATCCAGGTTAAGCAGTTACACCAACAATGTGGTATTTTTGTTTCCCTACAACATCCAATAAAGCAATGTGTTAAAAAACAGATTTCCTACAGTGATTTAAGTAGAACTTTTTGATCAACATTTGATTATATTTGCCAGTGTAACCTTGAGCCAGATGGTTGCTCTTTGCCAGATGAACAGCCAGTAGGAGGTAGGGAGAGCAGTATATGGTTTTTGATGTGTTTATGTAGGCCTTAGAAATGTGAATTTGATTCTTAAAATGTTATAGTCAATATTGAGTGAGATGGAATAATAGCTAACCATGCAGTCGAAATGTAATTGTATCACCCAAAAGTGGTGGGTTCTGGATTGTTATTAATAAAGAATGAACATGACGATAATGTCTGAGAGGCAGAAAGGCATTGGAAGAAGAAATTGGCCAGTCAGCTTATAGGATACTCACATTCAACAAAGCATTATTATAAGTGCTTTTTTGCTTTCTTGTTTGTGTTTTATTTGCTTTGGAGGTTACCACCTTCACTGACTCTCACTTCAGTTCAATCTCATCAGCTCTGAAAATGGTCATTAAGCTTTTTGACTTTCTATAGGCAGGACTGGCAGGCTGATTTGAGTGATGAGTTTTAACGAAGCAGTAGAGGGAATGTTGAAATTGAGTATCCCTCAAGTGTGCTTATTAATGACTTGAAATATGAAAGATAGAAATGATCTTGGAGGCTAAGAAAGCAAGGGAGACGAAAGCCCAGTTCAAGTCTCTTTTCCACAGTCAGCAATGTGTATGATCTTCCTCTTCAGGATCTTCCTGGGAGGAACAGGCTCTGCAGCTGTTCCATGTTCTGCCTTTGATACCTGTGACTTCACAGCCCACGGTAGAATCTCATGTAGAAATCTCCGTGGAGTTAGAATAGCAGCACTAAGCCTAGGAGAGATGCATAGATATGCCTGTGAGCCCTTGCTTCAGCCAGAATTAGCATCATTTGGAAGCTTGTTAGACATGCAGAATCTCAGGCTCCACCCCAGACCTGCTGAATCAGGATTTGCAACTGCAATTAGACCCAGGGTGATTTGTATGCACCTGAATGTGCAGCTATAAGCTGTGTCCCCCAGGCTAATGCCATCTTACGGTAGCTCCCAAATCTAGTTTACATCAAAATCACCTGGAAGGCTCATTAACATTTCATATTATCTGACCTAATAAGCCTGGGTATTTTGTTAGGACTGGAGAGCTTGGGACTCCTCATTTTTAATAAAACTCTTGATTAGTGGTGATAGAAAAGGTTGGAACAGATTTTAATAATCATTTTTTAGTGATTCCTTCTTATCCATAAATCTCCAGCAGAGTATGAGTTCTAGAGTCAAATGCAAAAGGTTCTAGGACAGCACTGTTAAATAGAACTCCCTGTGATGATGGAAGTGTTCTGTTTGATACCTCCCAATATGGTACCCACTAACCACATGTGGCTATTGGGCACTTAAATGTGACTAGTGTGCCTGAGGTACTAAATGTTGGTTAATTAATTCTAATTTTGTTTCACCGTAATCAAGTCCAAATAATCATGTGGCTAGTGACCTCTATATTGGAAGCGTAGTAAGGGTGAGATATTTTGTTTCATAGGGTCTTGTCAGTCTGACTGAGCAAACAACCTTGACCTTGATTTTCTACTATTTAGAAGCATAAGGGAATGGAGGGATCCTGATTGTCATGGCCTATCATCTCTGGTAAAATATCAGTGGATTTAGAACTTCTATCTTAATCAGATCAAGGGGCTTTTTGCCCTGGTCTTATGTATTTCTCTCACTGTTCTGAGTGTCCCTGTGGGCATACAACAGTATCTAGCCTTTTCTCTGTCTGCTTGAAGATTGAAAACATCTAATTCCAGTTCAATGTTTTTGCCTTGGAAACTAACCTCTCCTGGCTGCCACATTTTTCAGAACAAATATAAAGCTGAAATTCTCAAAAAACTGGAGCATCAGAGATTGATAGAGGCAGAAAGGAAGCGGATTGCTCAGATGCGCCAGCAGCAGCTAGAATCCGAGCAGTTTCTGTTTTTCGAAGATCAACTCAAGAAGCAAGAATTAGCCCGAGGTCAGATGCGAAGTCAGGAAACCTCGGGGCTGTCAGAGCAGATTGATGGGAGTGCTTTGTCCTGCTTTTCCACACACAAGAACAATTCCTTGCTGAATGTATTTGCAGATCAACCTAATAAAAGTGATGCAACCAATTATGCTAGCCACTCGCCTCCTATAAACAGGGCCTTAACACCAGCTGCTACTCTAAGTGCTGTTCAGAGTAAGTGATGAAATGCACCCCTGTGGGACATTGAGGCTCCTCAGATAGAATCATATTTCTATAGCATCTGGGAGGGTCCTCCTCATTTCATTAATTGTAGTAGGACCCCTGCAGAATATGGTGTGAATAACAGGAGTAACTTTCAATACTCTCTGACTTTTACTGTATATAACCTTAAAATTCAGAAAATATGCTTTGCCCCCAATAGAGCAGAGACTCTATAATAAATGGGAGGTATTTTATCATTGAACAGAGATTTTTTTTTTTTTTTTTTTTTTTGACGGAGTTTCACTCTTGTTACCCAGGCTGGAGTGCAATGGCGCGATCTTGGCTCACCGCAACCTCCGCCTCCTGGGTTCAGGCAATTCTCCTGCCTCAACCTCCTGAGTAGCTGGGATTACAGGCATGCACCACCACGCCCAGCTAATGTTTTGTATTTTTAGTAGAGACGGGGTTTCACCATGTTGACCAGGATGGTCTCGATCTCTTGACCTCGTGATCCACCCGCCTCAGCCTCCCAAAGTGCTGGGATTACAGTCTTGAGCCACCGTGCCCGGCTGAACAGAGATTTTAAATGAGAAACATTTTAAGTATTTTTGTCTTCTATGTATTTTAACTAAGAAATACATCTTAAAGGTAAACACTTATACTGGAGAGAAAAGATGTTGAGAAAATTGTTTATCCAGACCATTGCTCAGCAATAAAGTGTTTATACTCAGTATGTTTAGCATCCTCCTTGGACTGAGAGAATCTGATACACATAGATAATTAACCTCCAAATAGACTGTGTGTTTTTGCAAGAATTAGTGCTAGTCAGTACTGCCAGATCAGTGCTGGCAAGTTTCCAAAATACAGATTTCTTCCTCGCAGACACTGTCAGATGAAATTTGTGTTTCCATTTATTTGAAATGAGTTATAACAGGCATCACTTTAAAACACTTTACTGCTAATTGTTTCCCAAAACATTGTGCTTTTACTTACTGATCATCAACTTTCTTAAAGATATACGTAACATGATAAACAGGATATTTGTCCTATGTCTTATAGGATATAAAATGCATTCTATGCAGCCTATGCATTTGACCTTGTATTTGCTTCATGCCTAAAGATAACATAACATGTAAATAGTTGACCCAGGGTACAAACATGTAAAAGTGCTTGTACCTTCTCACTTTGCTTATAAAATATATACACAATGTAATTTTACTTCTAGTTAATGTTTACTTCTAAGAGTTTTAAAATAAAATGTGGAAAGTGGAACACCTGATACTTTTATTTTTGAAATTTATGTCCACCTGCAACTGCTTGCCAATAACAATTTTGAAAGATGGAACATATGGTTTGTTTTTCAGCCTTTTCTTCCTTTTTTGTTTCTTAGATTTAGTGGTTGAAGGACTGCGATGTGTAGTTTTGCCAAAAGATCTTTGCCACAAATTTCTGCAGCTGGCAGAATCTAATACAGTGAGAGGAATAGAAACCTGTGGAATACTCTGTGGAAAACTGGTATGATCTTTATATATGTATATATATCTCTGCACAGGATAGTTTTAATAGTACTAGCTTTCTTCCCACAAATGGAGCAGAATAAAAACATGCTGAGAGTAAACAATATTATGAAATTAACTTTATACAGATTAATCTTATAAAGCTACTGTCATTTTTGATGGAATAACCCTTCTATAAAATAGATTGTAAAATTTAAGAGACACTATAAAAACTTGTCCTGAAGAATCAATTAAACTATAAATTAAATCTTTGGTTAGAAAAATAGTATGGAATACAGGTCTTCAGATTTCCAAATCCATCTGATTTACCAAATCAAATTTTCATTGCAATTGTTAGTTTCACATACATTCATATAATTAACTTTATCTGCGGCATGTGTCACCTTGCTATCCTTTTTCAGATATACATGGAATAAAACTAGGGTTTTGTTGTTTTCTTTAGTTTAAGGCAGTATCTTCAACAAAATAAAGTCTATAAGCACAGAACATATTTAATTATGGAAGATGTCATCATAAGTATGTGATGAAAGACAATGTCATAATACAAGGAGATGAAAGAGAGGAGATGCATTCAATTTTCTATCTACAACAAAGATACATAATGTTTCTTTGGACGTGTCCTTTCATAGTCTGTTTTGAGTACCAGTTTATATATCTGGGTCCAGGTATATTTTCAGTCCTCAAAATTTAGCTTAGGAACCTCTGCTTTATTGAATAATACGTTTTATTCAGTACACAATCTCCTGCTGCATTCCAGTGTTTTGTCATCATTTTCCCTCCAAGAGAGAGGAAGCCATTGGTGGCAAGCACAGGAGAATGGGCATCTATAGTCACCTCTGTTGCACATAAGGGAACAGTGTGCTATTGAAGCATCCACCCCCACATCATGTGTTGTGTTCAGATTGATTGATTCATTCACGCATGATTCATTCACTCCGCTGTCAGACAAACATTTACTGAATGTCTAAATGTGCCAGGCACTGTGCTGGGTGTTGGCATTCAGTGCCCTGCAACAGCCACAGTCCCTTCCTTATGATGCTTACCATGCTGTGAAGACCCAGACAGAGGACTAATTATAAGTGGGGCTGAGTGCTGTCTGGGCAAGTGCAGGGCATCATGGGATTGTGTAACTGGGAAATCTAACTTTGTCTGAGGGGTCTGGAAGGGTTTCCCTGAAAAGTGATATTGGAGCTAGGCCTAAAGAATACATAAAGGAGGAGGTTGGATGGAGGAAAGAGTTGAAATCAGGGTGAAGGAACAGTGCATTGTGTATGGCAAAGCCCTAAGGCCAGAGAAAGGATGGTGCTGTGTAGGGGAGAAAGGCCAGTCTGCCTGGGGGAAGGAAGACAGCCTCTCATTGCACAAACATCTCTCCCTGAGGATCCCAGGGGACTTCACAACCCTCTTCCTCTCAGCTCTTATCTTTTGCCTAAAGGGGTAATTTGTTTTTTCCTTTCTCTTTATCTGATTGCAAATCCAAAACATTATCTTAATTACAGAAGATCCTAGTGAGTCCTCCCAATATTCAAAGAATGTCTTACGGCTTAAAGTGACATTAAATATAATTAGTAAAACAAAAACAAAACCATCAACTTTCACAACCCTAAGAAATGCCCTTTGGGAACACCACAAAATTATTTAGCTAGTATCTCCCCCATCCAAATAAACCTGCCCTTGTTTTGTTCTAGTTTTTCCATTATAAGATATATCAAGAAATCATTTATTAACTAAACTTCCACAGACCAGCCTGGAATTGGAATTCTTATTTATGTTATGTTTTCTATTGTGAAAGTGAGTTTCAAGCTACAAACAACTGACTCTCAAACTTTTGGCAAAGAATCCGTTTTTACTGTTGGGACTTTGTTTTTGAATTGGGAAGGGGTGTGTGTCCAGGTACAGGGAGGGATGATGTAAGTGGTCCCTGTACCTGGACACAACCCCCTACTGGGGAACTCTCTAGTCTTAAACATTGCACTTCCTGTTCAGTTATTGTTATTATTATTTTTTGTCAGATGCATGTCATTCTTTCTGCTACTTGTTTTTTAGACACATAATGAATTTACTATTACCCATGTAATTGTGCCAAAGCAGTCTGCGGGACCAGACTATTGTGACATGGAGAATGTGGAGGAATTATTCAATGTTCAGGATCAACATGATCTCCTCACTCTAGGATGGATCCATGTACGTTTGACCTCTCAGGTTTCAGTTTATTTTTGTATGGCGTGCTGTTTTCCTCCTTGAAAAAGTTTAGCTTCATTTAAATAGCTTCTTCTTTTTAATACTTTCAAATGTAATAAAGGTTGTCATTTAAGTAGTGGTTCTCAAGCAAAGAGAAAAGAATAACAGATATTAGAAAAAATAAAGGTCAGCATATTATAGCATGTTTTTCAGTGTTGGACTGTATCTAAATCTGTCAAATCTGGTTTGGAGAATGTATATCTTATGCTTTTTTGTATCATCCAAAGTTATATAGAGATAGAAAGAGTAACATTTGGAAATCAGATTGTTGTTTTTTTTTTTTTTTTTTTTTTTTT